TATATATTCCAGGAATAGAAATCCTTCCATTCCTCACCATCCAGTCGGAGCTGAAGAAGCTTCTTGGATGAGAAGCGAAACGTCTTCAAGGAAAAACCAGAAAGTCCAGTTGCCTCTTGAAAAAAAAAAAGGCATCTTTGGGAAAACCCTCCCTCATCTTTTTCAGAACCATTTCTTCCTAAATTCCCCGTACCCCCTTTCCTCAATCTTCTGACATTCTTTGTTACCTGTAAACCCAAATTAAACCACATTAAAATTATCGCCTCCCTCAAAAAAGGATGGGAAGTAAGGGAGGGGTAGTAAGAATAGGAAGGGGAAGAAGAGAGGAGGAGTGGGGGGGAGGGAGGGGAAAAAGAAAAGAGAAAGAAGAGGAAAAGAAGAAGAGGAAAAGGAGAGGAAGTAAGGGAGGGGTAGTAAGAATAGGAGTGGGTAGGAAGGGGAAGAAGAGAGGAGGAGTGGGGGAGAGGGAGGGGGAAAAGAAAAGAGAAAGGAGGGGGAAAGAAGAAGGGGAAAAGGAGAGGAAGTAAGGGAGGGGTAGTAAGAATAGGAGTGGGTAGGAAGGGAAAGAAGAGAGGAGTGGGGGAGAGGGAGGGGGAAAAGAAAAGAGAAAGGAGGGGGAAAGAAGAAGGGGAAAAGGAGAGGAAGTAAGGGGGAAGGAGTAAGAGTAGGAGAGTGAATAGGAGTGGGGGAGAGGGAGGGAAAAAAGAAAAGAGAAAGGAGGAAAGAAGAAGGTCGAGAAGGGAGGTGGGGTGGACGGGAGAAGTAGTCGGGTTGTTATAAAATAAGATGGATGTACAGGGAGGCAGGAAAGTGGCCCCGATTATATTTTTAATTTTTTAAATAGATTGTGATAAACGTTAAAGGATAACATATAAATATCAATAGCACTTATGAGAATGTATATTTGTAAATGTACTACATGAGCAAGAAAAATAAAACAAAAAAAAATTGTCTCCCTCCTTCTCTCTTTCTTTAAAGACCACACAGGAAAAGATACACCCCCATTTTAAAACCGGCGTACCGTCAAACTCGGGGGAGTCCCGTTCGTGGGTCACTTCGATGGTTTTGAAGGTGGGGAATGTCTTCAGCTGATGGCTGGTCCGACCTTTAAAAGAAGCCCCCTCAGTAAGTTATTTCAGAAAACCGCGGAATTGAGGCAAGGAGTTTTATTGCTCACAGGAGTAGGCAGGGATTACCCAACTGGGGGAAAATTCTCAAAAAGGTGTAGGAACAAATATGAGGCCGCAGCCTCAGAAAGACAACCAATGTTGTGTTTATTCCACTGTTGTTCTGACCTAGGCTTCTCAAGAGCCTGAAGCAGACTTCTTGTCCCGACAGAAGCTCCTTTTATTAATTTCCTGTGAATTCTGCTCATTCACATCCAGCAAAGTATCTCAAGGGAGGATTTACAGTCACTGACCTTATCTGGTTTGGGAGGATTTACAGTCACAGACCTTAGCTGGCTTGGGAGGATTTACAGTCANAAGAAGATTGGAAGATGCTTCTTTCAAACTTTTCCCTCTTTCTCTTTGCAACTTTTTTATCTGCTTATTACTTTATCTACTCCCCCCCCCCAAAAAAAATTGTATTGTTTTTATTCTTAATTTTTTTAAATAAAAAGTACATATTAAACAAAGAAGGCAGAAGTAAAATCATAAGTCGCAATTGAATCACCAAGGTGAAATAAGACTGAAAGTCTCTTGGTCACGTGATTTTCAAAATCATTTATGATTTTACATGCAGCCCAAAGGGATCGTCATCTACTATTAACTATTTTTTCAGCCCCAGTTTCTGTTGACTCTAACTGCCCTGCTATAGGAGACATTGCCAAGTGCAATGATGTGGAATAGCAGAAGAGCTGCAGGAAGTGACAGGGGAAGGATTAATGCTTCCCTCTGTTGTGTCTCATTAAAATTTGCTCCACCGAAACATGCATCTGCACTAAATGGGCCTTCTACTGGCACTCTGGAACACTATGCTCATCTTTTCAATGGGGCCATTTTCATCTGGAGTTAAATAAGAAAATAACATACTTCCACTTCACTGCAGTCTCACTTCTCTGGATACCCTTGTAGGCTGTATTTATAGCTCTTTAAAGCAGCCCATTAATTGCTGTCACACAATTTAACATCCCATCCAGCTTGACCCTTTATCACCCCAAGGCAAGACTGACATTTAAGACTTCATAATTTAAGACTTCATAGCAGCTGCCCACTGAACGTAGGAAGTCAGGCAGTGGCGAATAGCATCTCATTAGTGCCCTCCATATTAGTCTCCCAACAATTAATTGCACATTATCAATGGTATCTGTCATAGTGGCTGGTTCCATACTAGTTTGTATGGTGACATGGCCACTTTTTAATACATTCACTTCTTTACATCTCGGTGTCATCCTCCAACCGCATGGCCTTCATACATTAGGAAATACAATGTTTATTCAGCCAATGATCTTTGAGTGGCATGTCCAGGGCAAAAACTGGACTGATGAAAAATTACATTAAGTTTAACTAAGATGGCCCTTGTGTATTTAATCATTTTCTACTGTCATATTAAAAATTGCAGATTGGCAAGATCATTTGGAAGAGCTCTGGAGTCATAGATTTTTGACCTCAGTTCTGCATCAGATTTTGCTTCTGTCCTAGCCACAAAGATTAATTTGATACTCTCTTGCTTCATGCACTTTGACCCTGGTTTAGGGTGTGGCTTCCATGCGCCCAGCCAGGTGGCTCTGTGCTCTGCAATGCATATCAAGTCTATATAGTGTTTAACTTTATGGCTTCATCTAATGTAATGGGATGTCAGCAAAAATAACGATACTGTACATTCCTATTTAGTAAAAGGTTTGTATTCAAAGTATGAAAATTATATTCAGTAATGTGGATTTTTCTACAAAAGATTGACTCTGATCCCCCCTCCCTGTTGCTCTACTTATGGAGATTTCACTTAATTTGAGTTTTTTATTTATTTATTTCTCTTCTCTATTATTTTTATAAGTAACTCAAGATGGCAAACACATAATACTCCTTCTCCTCCTATTTAACCCATTGCAACAACCCCATGAGATGAGCTGGCTGAGAGAAAGTGACTGCCTCAGAATCACCCAAGTGTATTCTCAATGTTAAGTTCTGCAGGGATATCTGAAAAAGTGTTTTTTTTATTTGTATACTAAAACAGTGGACCTGAAAATTTCAACTAGGGGACAGTTCTTGAATCATGAAAAAGCAATCTTTCTGGATAGAGGAGGGTGCAAGAAAAGAAAATGTGCTATCATTGGTCTTTCCCGATAATGTAATCGAATACAAAAAAATTAAGCTGAGGGAGACTGAAGTCCAATAGGAAACGCCCTGTTCCCCCAGCCTTGGGTGAAAAGGCTACAGGAAGTAGCCTTAGCATCAATGCCAGTTGCCTTGGGGAAATAAAGTTTTTAAAAATCAAAATGGAGAACAAAACACATGCAAATATTTTTTACCCTGGTGTGAGTAGAATGAGTTACAGATTCTTTCTCCTCTATGGAATCCTCTCTGAGTTTGGTTGTTTCTTTGAAGATATTTCATTAGCAGGCTAGGTAACATCTTCAGTATTACCTGAAATACCTTTGGCATTGAAGATGTTATCTAGTTGACAATGAAATGTCTGCAAGCAGGGGCTTGCCAGGGACTCTTCAGTTGTGAGCTGCACATAGTCTTTGATATATGACCACAAACTGAGCCCAGAATTTGGGTTGTTGTAAGTCATTGCAGTGGTAAGTCCAATCATTGCACAACCAGACTCAGTCTTACCACCATTTTTACAATGATGGGTAAACAAGTGGTTGTGATTGTTAAATGATTCACATGGGGAGAACTCTAAATTCAACTTATCCAAAGGGTGCAAAATGTGATCGTGTGATCACGGGATAGTTCAATCAGTTTAAAAAGCAAACTGGTTGCCAGGCACCTAAAATGCAATCACAGGACTGCGGGGGTGATGCGGCAGTTGTAACTTTTTGGGACAGATCATAAGTAAACTTTTGACTCTTTTGTAACTTTGAATTGTTAAGTGACCAAGTCATAGATCGAGGACTACCTACTCAGATATTCTCTTCCAATGGTTTCTCCTGTCTCTATGATGACTCAATTGTGGTTTAAATTTACATGCATTTAAGCAAAGTTTTTATTTGCTTAATAATAGCATGTTTCAGGTTTTTAATTATAAACAATGCCACAGAAAAATGATAATATGTGTGGTAGTTTAAAAATAACCAAAATATTATTTTAAGTAATTTTAAAAGTTCTGAACATGATTGTATGTACATATTTGTAATATTTCTATTGATAAAAGGAAGAATAATCTAAAATAAGAGAATTAAAGCATTTATTCCTATTGGACTAACCTATACCCTATTTATTAGGTTACTAATTAATGTTACAAAACTATTTTATAAATTGTAAATGTTCCATCTTAGGTGAAAGCCTTGAACCTATGATTATGTGGATCTAAAATAGAATAGCAAAGCAAGCAGGCGATTCATCCCGTATATTCGAGATCAGGAGTGAAATCCAGCAAGCTCTGACAGGTTCTGGAGAACTGGTAGCAGAAATTTTGAGTAGTTCGGAGAAGCAGCAAATGCCACTTCTGGCTGGCCCCAGAGTAGGGTAGCAATGGAGATTTTGTAGTATCCTTCCCCTGCCACACCCACCAAGCCACACTCACAGAACCAGTAGTAAAAAAAATTGAATTTCACCACTGTTCGAGATGACCCTCATATAATTAGTGAACGTTTCAAATAATGTTATAATGTACTGAATCTGTCAAATAATTTCTAAATTGTGTGGATTTTGAGAGCATTTCAAAAATTAACAGGAGCTTCCCACTTTCCCAGAAAAAACTTGCTCTCTTTAATATGGCTATTTACAGTCTTCAGGCTTTAGGATGCAACAAGAATTTTACTCATCAGGGGCACAAGCGTTCTCCATGTTTCAACAAGCTAGCAGGACAACTGAGCTGACTTGTTCATGTCTCTGAGAGGGAGTTTACACGAAAAAGAGAAATCTCACCACTACCACCTCTCCCCCACCCAACTGCCAAACACAACACTTACAACTTTTTAAGTACTCAGCTGAAAGAAGATCAAACTGAGGCGATATATTCAGGAACAGCAACTTTATTAGTTAACAACAACTCACTAGTCAGAACAGAACAGAAGAACTCAGGTTTGACAGCTATTTATAGTGAAGCTGTCAAACCGGCAACCAATTAGAACGACGCCAGCTTCTGCTGACAATGCCCGCACGTTCTAGCCAATCCTGGCACCCGCTAGTGATGATTGACACCTCGTGGTTGCCATGGTTCGGACACAACACAACTGGATTTAACTTGCCCATGAGTCAGCTTCTTAGTTAAGAAACAGCAATGCTCACATCTTGATTCATAATACTTCCAGACAAGGCACTCCTCCTAGCACTATAAAATCTAAAGCCCTGTGCAATTCCAACTTCCATTCTAAATTGTGGTTAGAAAAAGTGCAGGGAAAATTAGTAGAAAGGCACAAGGGGTTATCAAGGTGGAAAGTGTTTCCTTTAGAATATTGCTCAGTGACTATACAAGAAAACCTTCGGAAGCAACCCAAATGTCAGGATTTAGATCAGGGGTAGTCAACCTTTTTATACCCACCGCCCACTTTTGTATCTCTGTTGGTAGTAAAATTTTCTAACCGCCCACCGGTTCCATAGTAATGGTGATTTATAAAGTAGGGAAGTAACTTTACTTTATAAAATTTATAAAGCAGAGTTACAGCAAACCGCTACTGCCCACCATGAAAGCTGGAACGCCCACTAGTGGGCGGTAGGGAGCAGGTTAACTATCACTGATTTAGATGGAATCTGGGGGAAAAAATAAATATTATTTTCATGTGTATAATTTGCGACTTATTGACACATAGTCTTATCTTTTACATTGAGATTCTGTCTACTATTCACCCACTGCCTTTAAACTAATTTAACAATTATTTCTTCCTAGGTTACATCTACTTGATACATTTGGTGGACTTTTTCCAAGAATGTCCTTCCATTGACCAGGAACAAGATGCAAGCCTAACAAAGACCTTGGAGAGAGGGAAGATCTGCT